AACCCTTAACCCTAAACCCTCAACCTCTAATCCCTAAACCCTTGATGAAGCCCTTTGGGCAGGCGACAAGGCCCAAGAGGCCGAGGCCGCTCCGGCGCAGTCGGCGAGCCCCGTGTCCGAGAAGGAGGCTCGGCACGGTTTTTGGGTTTTAGGGTTTGGGGTTCAGGAATTCGGGTCTTATGGTTTGGGATTTTAGGGTTTAGGGTTTAGGATTTAGGGTTTAGGGTTTAGGGTTTAGGGTTTGGGATTTAGGGTTTAGGAATTCGGGTTTAAGGTTCAGGGTTTAGGGTTTGGGATTTAGGGTTTAGGAATTACTTAGGGTTTAAGGTTTAGGGTTTAGGGATTAGGGTTTGGTCTTTAGGTCGAGGCTTAGGGTTTAGGGCTTTGGGCTTAGGGTGTAGGGCTCTTTGGGGTTTGGGTTGAGGTTTGGTGTGCTTTTGGGCAGTTCTCCAAATTAGGGCCATTAGGGTCCCTTTTACAAGGGTGTCGTGTTATGTTCGAGACCCGAAAAAAGGGACCCTAATTTAGAAAACTACCCTTCAGGGCTTTAAGGTTTGGGGTTTCGGGTTTGAGTTGAGGGTTTAGGGATGTTCAGGGTTTAGGGTTAGGTTTGGGTTTAGGGCTGTAGGATTTAGAGTTTGGTTTGGGGTTTCGGATTTAGGTGCAGGGTTAAGATTCGAAGCCATTCTCTTCAAATCCCGAAAGCGAAGCCCTAAGAAAACTCTGGGCTCTTAAGCTTAAAGACCCCAAGCCCTATACCACCAAAGCTCTAAGGTTTTGAAGCCCCGAGCCCTTTACCCTAAATCCTTTCTTCAGTTGAGGCTGTACCCATAGGCCCCATAGTAGTTCCTTTTTGGGGTTCATATTTAGAATCCTATAAGGTAATCCCAAAAAGGAACTACTATGGGGCCTATGGGTAGGACTGCCCTGTCCAGGCATCCTCACCAGAAAGGGACCCTGACACGATGCGCGCCAAGATCGTGGAGGCCGAAAACGGAAGCGTAAAGTTTGAGACCTTGTGTTTAGGGTTTAGGGTGTAGGGTTTAGGGTGGCTAGGGCTCGGAATGACTCTGCGAGGATTTTGCTCGGGTCTAATATGGGGCACGAAGCATTTCAGGAGTGCACGTGGGAGTTGCAGCGATATAGCGATCATCATGCCTTTTCGTTATTGTTGAGGTTCCATAAGGGGTATGACAGGTGAGTAAAAAGCGAGCCATGAGACCTCCAGCTACAGTAGGAAGGGGTTTCGGGTTTATGCTTTACCCAAAACCCACTTTTTTGTAGGTTCTTATTATAAACCCTAATATGGGATTTATAGGGACCCTACAAAAAAGTAGGTTTTGGGTTCTTAAGGTAGAGTTTAGGGTAGAAGGTTTAGGGTTTGGGTCTGCCGTTACAAGAGTGGCGTGCCTCGACGCATGGGTTTGGGTATTTGTTTTAGCGTTTGAGGTTCCAGAACCGCCCTAAACCCTAAACCCTAAACCTTCCAGAACCGCCCCAAATCCCAAACCCGAAAATTCAAGCACCCGCAAAACGCAACCTTCTCTGGGCACTAGGCCCTAAACCCCAAACCCTAAACCCTAAACCCCCAGGTCTAGGTCAGCCCCGAAAAAGGGATCTTCCGGGGGCTCCTAGGTCGACGACCAGGGGAGTCCCGTCATCGTGCGGGAGGAGGCAGCGCGGCGTGCATTTTGGTTGAGATTTTGTAGGATTTTGGAGGGTTTAGGGTTTAGGGTTTAGGGGTTAGGGTTTAGGGTGTAGGGTTTAGGGTTTAGGGTTTTAGGATTTTACCTGGGAATCCAAAATCCTGCTGCTTTAGGGGTTAACCCTGCTATTTTTGTGGGGCTTGGGGGTTTCAGGTAGCTTCTATACCGGTTTAGGGTTTAGGGTTCTTTAGCTTCTAGACGGCTTAGGAGATTCTTTTTCGGGTTTGGATGGGGTTTCCATAGGTTCTATAACAGTTCTGCGGTATTTTGCTCGGAAATCCAAGAGGGTTATTCTGTAGCCCTAGACCCTAAACCCTAAACTCTATACCCTAAACCCTATACCCTATACCCTAAACCCTATTCCCTAAACCCTAAAACCTATGCCTTGAACCCGGAACTCTCAACCCCAAGCCGTGAACTCTAAACCCAGACCCTGAACCCTAAACCCTATACCCTAAACCCAAAACTCTCAACCCCAAGCCGTGAACTCTAAACCCTGATCCTGAACCCTGGGACTTCAAACCCTCAACCCCGAGCTGGGCGCAGAAGGAGCCCAGTGCGCGCACCATCGTCACCAATGAGGACGGGCCTTGAACCCCCCAACTGGGGTTTGGGGTTCAGGGGTTCGGGGTTTTGGGGTTCAGGGTTTAGGGTATCAGGGTTTGGATTTTGGAGTTTAGGGTTGAAGCAAGGTTTGCTGTTTGGGGTTGAGGGTGTTGGGTTTGCGGCTTTTTGGAGGTCTAGGTGGCCTGGATCAGAGCTTGGGCTCTACTTGTGGATTCGAAAAAACTGCCCTTGTGAGGCTTAGTCATTACTATTCTGTGGGGTTGGGGTCGGAGGTAAGTGCAAATCCCCAAGCCGTACAACTTCCAGAATCCCTCATATGTCTATACCCCCAAGCGCTTAAGGGTTCAGACTTTTAGGGACTTGGCTATTCAGTTCCCGAAACTCTGAACCCACCATCTGGGAGGAACCGGACGGCGTCGTCGTGGCGAGGATCGTAAACCCTAAAACCCTAAACCCTAAACCCGAAACCCCAAGCCCTAAACCCTAAACCCTAAACCCTAAAACCCTAAACCCTAAACCGAAACCCCAAACCCTAAACCCTAAACCGTGCCGGAGAGCTACGTCGCCGGGGCCTCCGGTGGGTGCGAGCAGGCGGTAAAAGGGCTCATGGGCAAGAATCCAGAGACTCCAGTATCCCTTAATTAGAGAATCTATCTTAAATTGTAGTAGGATCCCTAATATAATTTATGTAGATATACCACGTGTAAAGTATT